TATTTTAATGATGTTGATTCTACCAATCCAAGAACATGGTATGTTCTTCCATCTGTTTTTGTCTTCCTCTATCTCTTTTTTCAACGTCCTATTTCTGAGTAGAGGTCTTTTACCTCTTTAGTTAAGTTTATTCCTAGGTATCTTAATTTTTTTGGTGTGATGGTAAATGGGATTCTTTTTTTAGTCTCTTTTTCTGTAAGTTCACTATTGGTGTATAGAAATGCCATAGATTTCTTGGTGTTGATTTTGTATCCTGCTAAATTGCCAAATTCATGTATTAAGTCTAATAGTTTTTTGATAGAGTCTTTAGGGTTTTTTTATGTATACTATCATGTCATCTGCAAATAAGGATAGTTTTACTACTTCTATTCCAATTTTGATGCCTTTTATTTTTTCTTCTTGTCTAATTGCAATGGCTAATTCTTCCAGTACTATGTCGAACAGGAGTGGTGAGAGTGGGCATCGATGTCTTGTTCCTGTTCTTAGGGGAAATGGTGTTAGTTTTTGTCCATTGAGTTTGATGTTGGCTGTGGGTTTGTCATATATGGCTTTTATTATGTTGAGATATGATCCTTCTATTCCCACCTTGCTGAGAATTTTTATCAAAAATGGGTGTTGGATTTTGTCAAATGCTTTTTCTGCATCAATTGATATGACTGTGTGGTTTTTTTCCTTTCAATTTGTTTATGTGATGTATCACGTTTATTGATTTGCAGATATTGTACCATCCTTGCATCCCTGGGATAAATCCTACTTGGTCATGGTGTATGATCTTTCTGATGTACTGCTGGATCTGATTTGCTAAGATTTTGTTGAGGATTTTGGCATCTATGTTCATGAGGGATATTGGCCTGTAATTCTTTTTCATTGTGTTGTCTTTCCCCGGTTTTGGTATTAGGGTGATGCTGGCTTCATAGAATGAGCTTGGAAGTGTTCTTTCCTCTTGAATTTTTTGTAGTTGTCTGAGGAGGATAGATTTTAGTTCTTCCTTGTATGTTTGGTAAAACTCCCCTGTGAAGCCGTCTGGCCCTAGGCTTTTGTTTGCTGGAAGCTTTTTGATGACTGCTTCAAGTTCTTCCATAGTTATTGGCCTATTGATATTTTTAGATTCTTTCTGATTGAGTGTTGGAATGTTGTATTTTTCTAGGAATCTGTCCATTTCCTCCAGGTTGTCAAGTTTGTTGCAGTAGAGTTGGCCATAGTATTTTTTTTAAAATATATTTTATTGAGTTTTTACAGAGAGGAAAGGAGGGAGATAGAGAGTTAGAAACATCGATGAGAGAGAAACATCGACCAGCCGCCTCCTGCACACCTCCTACTGGGGATGTGCCCGCAACCCAGGTACATGCCCTTGACCGGAATCGAACCTGGGACCTTTCAGTGCGCAGGCAGACGCTCTATCCACTGAGCCAAACCGGTTTCGGCGGCCATAGTATTTTTTAACAATCGTTTGTATTTTTGTGGAGTCTGTTGTTATTTCGCCTGTATCATTTCTGATTTTGTTTATTTGGGTCCTTTCTCTTTGCTTCTTGGTGAGCCTGACTAGAGGTTCATAAGCCTTGTTTATCCTTTCAAAGAACCAGCTCTTGGTTTCAATGATTTTATGTATTTTTTTTTTTTTTTTGGTCTCTGTGTCATTTATTTCTGCTCTAATCTTTATTATCTCTTTCCTTCTGCGCACTCTGGGTTTTTCTTATTGCTCTCTTTATAATTCTTTGAGATGTAGAGTTAGATGATTTACTACCATTTTTTCTTGTTTTTTGAGATAGGTCTGTAGAGCTATAAACTTCCCTCTCAATACTGCTTTCATTGTGTCTCATAGGTTTTGGATTGTTGTGTTTTCCTTGTCATTGTTTTCCAGGATGTTTTTAATTTCTTCTTTGATCTCATTGGTAACCCAATCAGTATTTAATAACATGCTATTCAGCTTCCAAGTGTTTGAGTATTTTGGGTTGTTTTTATTGTAGCTTATTTCTAATATTATGCCATTGTGGTCTGAGAAGATGCTTGGTAGATTTCAATCTTCTTGAATTTGGGGAGACTTTGTTTGTGACCCAATATGTGGTCTATTTTTGAAAATGTCCCATGAGTGCTTGAGAAGAAAGTATATTCCGTGGCTTTGGGGTGAAATGTTCTGAAGATGTCAATTAAGTCCATCTGAGTCGTTTAGGATTGCTGTTTCTTTGCCTATTTTTTGTCTAGAGGATTTATCCAGTGGTGTATTAAAGTCCCCTACCATGATTGTATTGTTGTCGATCTCTGCCTTGATATCTTCCAGGAGTTTTTTTATGTATTTGGGTGCTCCTGCATTGGGTGCATGTATGTTCATCAGGGTTATATCCTCTCGTTGTATTTGATCCTTTTAGTATTATGAAGTGACCTTCTTTATCTCTTGTTATGGCCTTCACTTTGAGGTCTATTTTGTCTGATATAAGTATTGCTACCCCAGCTTTTCTTTCATTTCCATTTGCCTGAAAGATATTTTTCCATCCCTTCACTTTCAGTCTGTGTGAGTCCCTTATTCTGAGGTGGTTCTCTTGTAGACAGGAAATATATGGGTCATGTTGTTTTATCCATTCAGCCACTCGATGTCTTTGGATTGGAGCATTTAGTCCATTTACGTTTAAAGTTATTATTGAAAGGTACTTGTTTGTAGCCATTTCTATTTTTTGTGGCTGTTTTCTTTCTGAGCTTTTTATTTCTTCTTTTTACACCAGTCCCTTTAGCATTTCTTGCATTGCTGGCTTGGTGGTGATAAACTCCCTTAGCCTTTTTTGTCTGTGAAGCTTCTTATTTCCCCTTCAATTTTGAATGATAGCCTTGCTGGATAGAGTATTCTTGGATTCAGTCCTTTGCTTTGCATCACTTTGTAAATTTCTGTCCATTCTTTTCTGGCCTGATGTGTTTCTGGTGAGAAATCATTTGATAATCTAATGGGAGATCCCTTGTATGTAACTTTCCATCTCTCTCTTGCAGCCTCTAAGGCTCTCTCTTTGTCCTGAACATTTGCCATGGTAATTATGATGTGTCTTGGTGTGGGTCTTTTCGGGTTCACCTCATTTGGGACTCTGTGCTTGTGTGACTTTTCTCTTCCCTACCTCAAGGAAGTTTTCTGATATTATTTCCTCAAATAGGTTTTCTAACCCTTGTTCCTCTTTCTGTTGTTCTGCCACCCCTGTTATTCATATGTTGTTTCATTTCATGTTGTCCCATAGCTCCCTTAGGCTCTCCTCTTGTCTTTAAATTTTTTCTCCAATTGCAGTTCAGTTTGGGTGTGTTTTGCTTCCCTGCCTTCTAATTCGCTAATTCGGTCCTCTGCTTCTCCTAGTCTACTGTTGAAACTTTCAGTGATATTTTTTATTGCAGCTATATCACTCTTCATTTCCTCTTGGTTCTTACATAAGTTATTGATTTTTTCATCCATTTCTTTTTGATTCTTACTTAAGTTGTTGATTTTTTCATCCGTTTCTTCTTGATTCTTGCATAAGTTGTTGATTTTTTCCTCCATCCAGTTTATGCATTCTAGCACCCCTAATCTGAATTCTTTTTCCATCATGTTGCATGCCTCTGTTTCACTTTGCTGCTTTTCTGGCGTATTCTCCTTTTCTTTCCTTTGGGGGTTTCTTTGTCTACCCATGTTTGATCTTACTGACATATCTAGATGTTGAGTCGTTCAGGGGCTGCTCCCTGGGTAGCAGTGGCTCCTCTTTCTGCAGTTGCTCCTCGGGCAGTTGTGGTAGCAGCTGTTCCTCAGTTGGCAGCAGCTCCTTTGATGGGTGCTGTTCACAGCTGTGGTGTTTCTTCTGGCTGGTGGGGGGAGGCTTCACACACAGCTGCTGTTCCTCAGACAGAGGGTGTCCTGATCATGAGGCTGCTGTTCCTTGGATGGGGGCAGGCTACACATGCAGCTGCTAGTCCTTGAACTGGGGCGGACTGCTCACGTGGCTGCTTTTCCTTGAATGGGGCAGTGATTAATATTTTTATAATTTAGCTTTATGTTTCATTTACTCAATAGTTTATTATTATTAATCCTCACCCAAGGATATGTTTTTTTAAAATTTTTCTGTACATAACTGGGTGCCTGGGCCTTCGTTGTGGCCTCTCTTTCTGAGTCTATGTGGTAGGGAAATCTTCCATAAGCAGCAGATGAGTGGTTTGTCAGAGCTGTCCCAGATCAGTTCTGGCTTAACAGATTCTGTCGACAGGTTCAGAAGTGTCCGTCCACTTTATCCAGATGCTGGCCGGGTCCTGGGCTGAGGTCTGGGAGCGCCTGGAGTTCCCGCAGGTTCAATTCTGATAAAATCAGCAGTGGGCGCCTTCTGGAGGTTTCTCCCGCGCCCCCAGGCCTCAATCCTGTCCACTCACCAGATGGCTAATCAAAGCCAAAACGCGGTAGCTTCCTGATTTAGGGAACCATCCCTAACAACCCTTTTAAAACATTGTATCTATGATTATAACTTTTTTAAAAAATATATTTTATTGATTTTTTTACAGAGAGGAAGAGATATGGATAGAGAGCCAGAAACATCGATGAGAGAGAAACATTGATCAGCTGCCTCCTGCACACCCCCTACTGGGATGTGCCTGCAACCAAGGTACATGCCCTTGACTGGAATCAAACCTGGTACCCTTTAGTCCGCAGGCTGATGCTCTATCCACTGAGCCAAACCAGTTAGGGCTATGATTTTTAACTTTTAACTAAAGGCCCAGTGCATGAAATTCATGCATGGGTAGGGTCCTTAGCAGCTGCTGCCTGCCAGCTGGGGCCTCCCTTCCCCCGGCTGCCTGCTGCTGCCGCCCCTTGGTGGTCAACTCACATCTAACTCCTGGTCAGTTGAACTCCCACCCATGGGGACAATTTGCATATTAGCCTTTTGTTATATAGGATGGCTTAACTTTGTGCATAAGCCAATCAAGTTTGTATGTTAATACCAACTAAATTTGATATTGCATATTATCATTTTTGTAAATTGCTTCTTTTATGTTTTGTGTGTTAACAGCATATTATCTTACATAATTTCTCAAAAAGAAATGTGGAGTGGTGTTTCGATATTACTAATGCTGAGAAACTTTTCAAAGATGGCATATTCGAGTTTAATTTATTAAGTGGGACTCTACTACCAAATGAAGAGTATAAAGTTTTCTTAAGGTTTTGTCCAAGTAAGTAGTTTTTCCTATTTTGTTGTTGATATTTCAGTTTATTTTTCACATATTGTTTTATCATGTATGCAAAAGTTTAACTTATTTGTTATGTGTTTTAAAAACTGTTTTAAGAAATTTCTTAGTAGAATTTTATAGTAATCATACTAAAAAAATCACTGCCAGTTGTCCTCACCTACTGGTATTCATGCCGTTGTAATCCTCTTTCACATCAAATAGGGCTGATATATAACCCATGGGATATTATGGATGTGATGGTGTTGGCCTTCCAAGGCTAGGTCAGAAAAGGCATTGCATCATCTGGCTAGTACTCTTGGATTGCTTGTTTTTGAGGAAGCTGGCCAGCATCTCTATTTATTTATATTTCCACTTTATTTCATGGTAGTTCTTACAGTTACTTTTTGAAACAAACCTTAGTTTGTTTTTTTTCCAGTTTCTAAGAAAAGGCACGTAATTGACTTCACTTTAGAGAATGTTTCTAACTCTCTATCCCTCTCCCTTCTTCTCTGAAAAAATCAAAAAAATAAAAAATTTATTTTATAGGCATCATTATTGCTAATGAGATTTTTTCCATTCTTTTAAATTAACTAGCATTGTATAAAAGGAATATATTTATACTTTATCTGGGACTTCTGTACCAACCTTCCCTGGTTAGATCTGGAAGTTTTTCAAATATTATTCTACATTGTTTTTTTAAGAAAATAGTTTATAATATAAACCATGGTAATTAATAAAGTTGTCTCTCTTTTTACAGTATTTATTTTTTCTCTTCCTCTTCCCCTTCTCCTTATTCTTCCCTATCCTCCTCCTGAATCTGTTAATACAATGTTACTACAGTACAATAACATTACATTAAATTATAATTGTATTATAATTGTAATCTCTCTGAATGTATTATTATAATGGCAGTTTGTTTAAATTTTGATTCCAAAAGTTTTGCTTTGTGTATTTAGATGTTATGAAAAATTTGTCTAATATACATTTCACAAATAAGTACATGCATCTTAAAATATTGATTTTTTCCCTACAAAATGCTATTTGCATAAATGATCTTTATGTGCTACATTGACATTTTGTCTTCCTTTTTCTACCTTTGGCTGATATATTTCTTAATTTTCCATCTTTGTCTTTTAAAATTAGAATAAATATTATAAACCAAAAGACCACAAGATGAAATTCCTGTGTTGAGCACCTGCTCAGTAGAAACCAAGATATCACATGGGGAGTTTCTTCTACTATGAGGCATGTGCAGTAGGAGCCACGATAGCAACCATAGAGGGAAAGTGTCTAATCTGGGAAAAGGATTGGAATAGATAAGGAACACAAAACCCTAGATGATCTAGGAAATGGATTGGTTAGGAGGAGGGTCCAACACAAGCCTGCAAAGGATTGGCATATTGATTGGTTAGTTGAAAGAGAGTCTGGTCTTTTCCAAGCCCAAGATAATATAATTAGAGCCTAACAAAGGGAAGTGCTCTCTCTCTTCTCTCTCTCTCTCTCTCTCTCTCTCTCTCTCTCTCTCTCTCTCTCTCTCTCCCTCTCTCCCTCCCTCCTCGTAACATGGGTCTGTTCGCCCTTGCTTTCACCTGTTCTCTCTCTGTAGCAGCCATGTGGGCCTAGCTGTTGCATTGGGCACAAGTGCAGGTATGCCTCTCCAAGGGCTCCAAGTGGGCTACAAACATGAGCCTGGGTACCGAGTATGGCAATATAATACCAGCCAGAGCACAATAAGAAACAGAAGTTAAGCTAGCTAAATGGGGACAGAGACTGAACTGGACTGAACCAATGGCACAGAATGTGTACATCCTGGCCTTTCTTCTGGGCTTGATAAAGACAAGACTTGGCTTCTTCCATAGCAGGATGGATGGAGATGAGACACTGGGAACCTGGGGGTAGTCTTTTATTCCTATTCCAATAAATATTACACTATATCTCATCCTCCCATATATGGCTCCCCAAATTCTTTTCTTGCAACTCCATGAAGGACCCTATTTCAAACAACAACACATGGAGGACTGGATTTTCAGATTTTCTAAACATCACCTGAAAATATTTAATGTATACTTGTAACTTACTTTAGGTATTTGAGTGTTTGATTCTTACCTTTCTTGTTAAAAATGGAAGCATTTGTTTATTTCTAAAATATCTTCTAAAAATTATGGGCTGAAAATACCTGTGACTAGTAAGAAGATTGAATCAGCATTAAAAATTTCTCAACAAAGAATAGCCCAGAACCAAATGGCTTCACTGGAGAATTCTACCAAATCTTTAAAGTAAAACCAATGTTCTCGAAAATCTTCTCAAAAACTGAAGAGGAGGAAACACTTTCAAACTTATTTTATGAAGAAAGCATTACCTTGATACAAATTCTGGACAAATAGATGATATGAAAATAAACTAAGGCCAATAGCCTTGATAAGCATAGAGGTAAAAATCTTCAAGAAAATACTAGCAAAATGGAAAAAAAAATTACCTAATTAATTGAAAAAAATGATACTAATAAACTAAATTCAACAGCACATTAAAGGATCATACTGTGGCTAGACCCTGTTATACTGGTCATTGAGCACAGCTGCCTTCTATTCTCAGGACTTTAAAGAGTTTTAGTGAGGTGGTTTTTACTTTTTACACCTCCTTTATTTTCTTTTCCTTTGACTGCCACAGGGATGGAGGCTGGGATGTGAGAGTATATATGACTCACATGAGTCTCTAAGTAAGTTTCCAATTCCCTCTGAATCTGAATCACTATTCATGAATCTAATTTATGTGGCTAGACTCACACTCCCCTTGGGTAAGCTTGTTTTTGTTCTCATGTAAATATCTTCAGTGTTTCCCAAGTCTGCCATCCAGGATGCATATTGGATAGAAAATTCTCTATTCCAAAATGATGGTGGAGTAAGTGGAAGCTACACTGATATTCTCCCAGGACCAAACTGGAAATAAAGCTAAAATACAGGAAAACTACTCTGAAAAATCTATTGAAGACTAACTGGAAAGAACCCTGATAACCAAGGACAGAAATTGGAGACCTCATGGAGACTGGTAGGAAGGGTGGAAGTGCGAAAGAGCTACAGACAGCAGATGAAGTTCTGGACAGTTATCTCAGCTGTGGGTGGTTCCCTCTGAGAACTCTTGGGTCTAAACTCCAAGCTGGGCTCCCCAGCCCAGAGCACCAGAACTGAGAAAGGTGCCCACATAACATCTGTCTGTGAAAAGAAGCAGGGTTGTCTCTCTGTCAGGGAGAGAGGGCTGGAAATGCAGGAACCCTCTTAAAGTGCCAACTCACAAAATTTCATGTGCAGCCACTCACTTTGGGCTTCAAAAGAGGTAGGGAAGAGTGGACTATAGCTGTGTGATGATAAGCCAGGATTGGGGGATCTAGGGTTGGAGCTCAGAGGGCAGCCACCCGGTTTCTTATGCAGAATCATTCCCTGAAACTATGGAGGGTATATTTCTCCAGTGGACCTTTGCTACCCAGGTGGTTTTTGCCAGGGGTAAGCAGTTGCCCCACCCTGTTGGAAGACCTCTTGCCCTACCCTGTGGTCAATAGCCTGAGGCTAATCAAGATGGATAACAAGCAGACTTGAGGCAGAGGCAGATATTTGAAGGCTTTAAGTCTTTGCCTGATCTCCTTCTGGGCTGGGGTTAGGAAAAGCAGAACCTGGTGCCTATCTGGGTCCTTTCCAAAGGCACCCACCCCAGCAGAGGGAGCCACAAGCTGTGGATTGCTGATGTCTCCAAACAGGGTACTCAGGGTCAGTCACAAATTGCTTCTGACATTGTTCTGCACTACAGTTTGGGAGTCATAGCAGATCTACCTAATACATAGACAAATACCTGAAGAGGCAGCCAAAATGGGGAAACTAAAAAACAAGCCCCAAATGAAAGAACAAGGTAATTCTCTAAAAGAAATGTTAAACAAAATGGAGATAAGAAATTTACCAGGTATAGAGTTCAAAATAATGATGACAAGGATTCTGAACAGCATGAGAAAAGATATAGTAACTATGAAAAATGACCAGTTGGAAATGAAGAGTGACATAGTACTAATGAAGAACACATTGGAAGGAATACACAGCAGGTTAAGGGAAGCTGAGAATTAGATCAGTAAATTAAAAGACAGGGTAGAAAAAATAACTCAATCAGAGAAATTAAAAGGAAAAAAAACAATTAAAAAACAGGACAGCTAAAGAGAGCTATGGTACACCATGAAACATAATGATATTCACATCATAGGAGTGACAGATGGGGAAGAAAGTGAGAAAGTTATAGAGGATGTGTTTGTGGAAATAGTTGCAGAAAACTTCCCTCACCTTGTGAAGGAAAAAGTCACACAAGTTCAGGAGGCACAGAGAATCCCAAGCAAGAAGAACTCAAACAGGCCCATGCTCAGACACATCATAATTAAAATGTCAAAAATGAAAGACAGAGTCTTAAGGCAGCCAGAGAAAAACAATTTGTTATCTACCAAGTAGCTCCCATGAGTCTGTCAGCTGATTTTTTATCAGAAACTCTATAGGTCAGAAGGAAATGGCATGAAGTGTTTAAGGTAATGGAAAGCAAGGATCTGAAACCAGGATTACTATATCCAGCAAGATGAAATAAAGAGCTTCCCAGACAACAAGAGGCTTAAGGAGTTTATCACCACTAAACCAGTACTGTAAGAAATGCTACAGGGACTGCTGTAATGAGAAGAAATATAGAGAGAAAGAACCATAGGTATAAAAAGTTAAAATGGCAATAAATAAAAAAATTAAAAAATTAAAATGGCAATAAATAAGTACATATCAATAATAATCTTAAATGTAAATTGATTAAATTCTCCAAAAGACATATGGTAGCTGAATGGATATGAAAACATGACCCAAATATATGCTGTCTCCAAGAGACTCATCTTAGAACAAAAGACTCACACAGCATGAGAGTGAAGGAATAGAAAAAAAATTTTTTTCCATGCAAGTGGAAATGAAGAAAAGTTGGTGTAGCAACATTCATGTCTG